TCTTTGATATCTTTAGCCCCCACATGATCCCTAAAATTGCTTAAGGAACTCTACTTGTCTGATGTCCCCAGGCCCCACTAACCACTTTCATCAGCCTCCCCCATTACTGCTTTTTTCTTCCTCGTTTACATTTCACTCACTCCAAATATGCTCTGTCCCAATAGAAAGGACTCTGAGCGTAATAGCAAAGAAAACTGTAAGTAGCCTAGCTAAAAAAGATGATATCTCTTCTTTAAAAGAAAAAAAAAAAAAAACTTCCTTACACATTCTTCTCCATAGCTATTATTTCTCTACTCCCCATTTAAGCAAAGTACTTGAAATAATCATTCTTATTTACTGTGTATTTTATCTCCTCCAATTCTTTCTTGAAAACTCCTAACTTCAGCCTTTTACCTTCACTGCTTCACCAAATTGTCCTTGTCAAGGCCATGGATGTCCTCCTCTTGCCTAGCCCAGGGATCAAGTCCCCATCACCTTTGACTCATCAGCAGTATTTATGCAGCTTAATAAGTTCTCTTCACTTCCTCTTGGAATAAAATGACTTCTTATCATTCTCTTCCACCTCAATTGCTGTTATTCTCTGGCTGCTTTTCTGGTTCCTTCTAAGCAACCTGACCTTTAAAAGGTGGCCAGAGTAATGGTTTGCACCTATAATCCCAGTACTTTGGGAGGTCAAGGAGGGCAGGTCACTTGAGCCCAGGAGTTCAACATCAGCCTGGACAACATGGTGAAACCCATCTCTACAAAAAATAAATAAATAAAAACTAACTGGGTGTGGCTGTATGTGCCTGCAGTCCCAGATATTGGGAGGTTAAGTTGAGTTGATCACCTGAGCCTGAGAAGGTGGAGGCTTCAGTGAGCCATGATTGTGCCACTGCATTCCAACCTGGGCAACAGAGTGAGACCCTATCTCAAAAACAGTTCCAGGGCCCAGTTCTCAGAATTGTTCAATCTATAATTGCTCTGCAGTTAGGTCTCCCTGGGCCTAATCTCACCCAGTCATTCAAAAACATGTGTTATATGTCTTATTATGGGACAAACTTCAAAATATATTTGTTAAATGAAAAAGGATGGAAGACGGCAAGCTAGGTATGTGCAGGAGTTTGGGGCGACTGACAACACAGGGATACAAAATTTAACTCCCACTCTGAAAGGCTTGGCACAAAATAAACCAGGAAGTCATGTTAAGAGCTAAAAAAAAAAAAAAGTAGTCCCCAACCTGTAATGTTTTTGCTAATTTGACTAGAAGTAATTCAAAATGTGAATCAGGCATACATCTTACCCACTAGAAATGTATAATCTGCTGCAGGAAATAAAAAATAAACAGTCACAAACTAAGGAAGAAAATGTCACCAGAAAGAATGACAAGTAGGAGTTATGGGAGCCCAGATAAATAGAGCAGATTTAAAAGATCTGTAACGCTGAATTATTTCTGATGTTTTTAAACCACATGCTTTCAAAATAACTACATTTCCTAATTACCTCTACTATAAATTGAAGTTTCTGAAGTTTTCTTTTCCTTTTCAATGCTATTCTCTATACTCTCAATCTTAAACCAGAATGGAAAAGCCTTTTTACTGAGAACCACTCTACCCAACAAATCTCAAGAACCCAAGAAAAACATAATCAAGGATTAGTACACGCACAAAAACAAACCCAATTTTTTTCATTCAATTAGAGGGAAAGAGGTCAACGTGAAGAAATGTTGGCCCTGAAACACAGAGAAGAATGGGGAGGGCTTGGTCCAAGCAGCTGCTAAATGGCACCACTGGAATCTGAACCCAGGTCTGTCTAATTCCAAATCCCACAATCCTTCCATTTTACAGCCTATCTCAGACACAAATGCAAGTTTAAACTGTCTGTAAAAAGGAAGGAAAGGTCCCAGTAGAGAAGAAAATATTCAGACTACAAAACAGAAGGGGTTGTTCATAGAACCAGCCCCATGGAAGAACTAGAGAAACACAAGAGTCATTGAATAGTAGGTACAGTCACAGAAATGCTGTGAGTGCATAAAGAAACAGAGAGGCCAAAAGAATATCATTTAATGACAGAAAGATACAAACTGTCTCAAAAACAATTGACACATTTGTGGTCTTTAGTGAACTCTTTATTTTCTTTCACTTTCTATATCTGAAGGCTGAATGGTGCCTATCTCTCCCTCTTCTTGGTTTTTGCTCTATGAGCAAATTAAAACTGGGCTAGATCTCATCCACAGGCTGCAGATTTTTATTCCTGCCACCTATCTTCAAACCACGCAAAGACTCCCTCCAACATCCACACCCTCTTCCACATGTGCTTCACCTGCTCCTGCCCCCATCCTTTGCTGAAATTACTGTGTCTGTTAAGCCTTATGGGCATCAAACTATATCCCTTCTTAAAACAGCTAAAATTTCTTTGAAGTCTTCTGAGACCAATCCCATGGAGTCAAATCAGATGATTTGATCAGCCTCTATCCAGCAGCCATGAACTGTGAATATTTCCATGTATTTCCATGTACTAATTGTTGTGTTTTCATAAATAACATTTATATTTGACTTTATATTTCTGTAAAAATGGTACTAGCTCATTGACTGACCAGCTTAATCACAACTATGGTGGGGGTGGGGTGAGGGGGGGGGAGAGAGAGAGAGAGAGAAAGAAAAGAGCAGAACAGAAGGAGATGAGAGAGAGGAGAAGGAGATAGGAAGAGGAAGAGGAAGAGGAGGAGGAGGAGGAAGAAGAGGAGAAAGAGAAGAGGAGGAAGAGGAGAAAGGAGGAAGAAGAAGAAGAAAAAGGTGAAAGAGGAGGAGGAAAATGGCAGAGGAGGAGGAAAGAAGGAGGGGGAGGAGAGGGGAGGGAGGCCAGCCACAAATGTTAACTGAAACAAAATACTTTTTTTTTTAATATAGACATCTTTGAGCTTGGTGGCTATGCTGTTTCACAGTTGATTTATTGTATTACAAAGAGAACAATTTTCCACAAATATCAACATAATGTTATATGCTTTTTTCCAAAGAAATACACAATAGAATGCATAAAATATCAGAAATAATTAGACAAAGTTGTACAATCCCATTGTTACACTATACACCTTTGGGGTTTAAAATTTACTGTGAAAGTTTTGTTTTTGTTTTTGTTTTTGTTTTTTGAGACAGAGTCTCACTCTGTCACCCAGGCTGGAGGGCATGGCATGATGTTGGCTCACTGCAACCTCCATCTCCTGAGTTCAAGTAATTCTCATGCCTCAATCTCCTGAACAGCTGGGACTACAGGCACCACCAAGCCTGTGTAATTTTTGTACTTTTGGTAAAGATGGAGTTTCACCATATTAGTCAGGCTGGTCTCAAACTCCTGACCTCGTGTGATCTGCCCACCTTGAACTCACAAAGTGCTGGTATTCCAGGTGTGAGCCACCACACCTGGCCTATTTACTGTGAAAGTTTAAAATCTGATTTGAAAGCTGCTTATTATAAACAATATGATTTTTTCTTTAATATAATGGTCCCAGAATTTTTAATGTTACATATGAATATATGTTCTCAAATGTAAAACCAAGCTTTTTATATATAAACATGTATAAAAAATAAATATAAATAAGAAATTGGGGCAGCAAAGCAAATTTGAAATTTTGCAGTGTTTTTGTCAAAAGTGGTTTGAACAAATTTAGAAAAAAAAACACGCAACCCCATCAAAAAGTCGGTGAAGGATATGAACAGACACTTCTCAAAAAAAATACATTTATGCAGCCAACAAACATGAAAAAAAGCTCATCATTACTGTCATTAGAGAAATGCAAATCAAAACCACAATGAGATACCATTTCAGGCCAGTTAGAATGGTAATTATTAAAACGTCAGGAAACAACAGATGCTGGAGAGGATGTGGAGAAATAGGAATGCTTTTACACTGTTGGTGGGAGTGTAAATTAGTTTAACTATTGTGGAAGACAGTGTGGTGATTCCTCAAGGATCTAGAACCAGAAATATCATCTGAACCAGCAATCCCATTACTGGGTATATACCCAAAGGATTATAAATCATTCTACTATAAAGATACATGCACATGTATGTTTATAGCAGCACTATTCACAATAGCAAAGACCTGGAACCAACCCAAATGCCCATCAATGATAGACTGGATAAAGAAAATGTGGCACATATACACCATGGAATACTATGCAGCCATAAAAAGGGATGAGTTCATGTCCTTCGAAGGGACATGGATGAAGCTGGAAACCATCATTCTCAGCAAACTGACACAGGAACAGAAAACCAAACACCGCATGTTCTCACTCCTAAGTGGGAGTTGAACAATGAGAACACATGGACACAGGGAGGGGAACATCACACACTGGGGCCTGTTGGCAGGTGGGAGAGGGATAGCATTAGGAGATATACCTAATGTAGATGACAGGTTGATGGGTGCAGCAAACCACCATGGCACATGTATACATATGTAACAAACCTGCATGTTCTGCACATATATCCCAGAACTTAAAGTATAATTTTAAAAATTAAAATGGCTTGAAAACTTCCCTCAAGTCAAAAAAGTATCCTTTGGCCGGGCGTGATGGCTCATGCCTATAATCCCAGCACTTTGGGAGGCCGAGGCGGGCGGATCACGAGGTCAAGAGCTCAAGACCATTCTGGCCAACATGGTGAAACCCCGTCTCTACTAAAAATACAAAAATTAGCTGGTGTGGTGGCACGTGCCTGTGGTCATAGCTACTCGGGAGGCTGAGGTGGAAGAATCGCTTGAACCCAGGAGGCGGAGGTTGCAGTGAGCCAAGATTAAGCCACTGCACTCCAGCCTGGCAACAGAGCAAGATTCCATCTCAAAAAAAAAAAAAAAAAAAAAAAAGTATCCTTTGAGGAACAAAGTAAAAGTAAAGACGAACTAAAGTTGCACAGTAATGAGAAAATTAAAATTTATAACGAATTTATAAATATCAAACCATTTTTATATTTTCCAGGAAAAGTGTGGCTTCCTCATTCATTAACCAGTAGCATAATATTTTCCAGGAAACTTCACTCAGGAGAAATGCTGTGGCCCTTCATTTTACCAACAGAAAATGGAACACAAGAGACCACATAGCTGAACAAATTACAGCCACCTTACAAGTGAGAAACTTCAAGGCTACGTAGTTTCCAGCGAAGGGAAATAACTAACAGCTTCTCCACAGTGTAGACTGAAACAGGGGAAACATGAACATCACAAACTGTACCACAGAAGCCAGCATGGCTGTAAGACCCAAGACCATCACTGAGAAGATGCTCATTTGCATGACTCTGGTGGTCATCACCACCCTTACTACGTTGCTGAACTTGGCTGTGATCATGGCCATCTGCACCACCAAGAAGCTCCACCAGCCTGCAAACTACCTAATCTGTTCTTTGGCCGTGACGGACCTCCTGGTGGCAGTGCTCGTCATGCCCCTGAGCATCATGTACATTGTCATGGACCACTGGAAGCTTGGATACTTCCTCTGCGAGGTGTGGCTGAGTGTGGACATGACCTGCTGCACCTGCTCCATCCTCCACCTCTGTGTCATTGCCCTGGACAGGTACTGGGCCATCACCAATGCTATTGAATATGCCAGGAAGAGGACGGCCAAAAGGGCCGCACTGATGATCCTCACCGTCTGGACTATCTCCATTTTCATCTCCATGCCCCCTCTGTTCTGGAGGAGCCACCGCCGCCTCAGCCCTCCCCCTAGTCAGTGCACCATCCAGCACGACCATGTCATCTACACCATTTACTCCACGCTGGGTGCGTTTTATATCCCCTTGACTTTGATACTGATTCTCTATTACCGGATTTACCATGCGGCCAAGAGCCTTTACCAGAAAAGGGGATCAAGTCGGCACTTAAGCAACAGAAGCACAGATAGCCAGAATTCTTTTGCAAGTTGTAAACTTACACAGACTTTCTGTGTATCTGACTTCTCCACCTCAGACCCTACCATAGAGTTTGAAAAGTTCCATGCCTCTATCAGGATCCCACCCTTCGACAGTGATCTGGATCACCCGGGAGAACGCCAGCAGATCTCTAGCACCAGGGAACGGAAGGCAGCACGCATCCTGGGGCTGATTCTGGGTGCATTTATTTTGTCCTGGCTGCCATTTTTCATCAAAGAGTTGATTGTGGGTCTGAGCATCTACACCGTGTCCTCAGAAGTGGCCGACTTTCTGACGTGGCTTGGTTATGTTAATTCTCTGATCAACCCTCTGCTCTACACAAGTTTTAATGAAGACTTTAAGCTGGCTTTTAAAAAGCTCATTAAATGCCGAGAGCATACTTAGACTGTCAAAAGCTAAAAGGCACAACTTTTGCGAGAGCCTCGTGAGTGGACGGGGGTAAGGGGTGCAACTTATTAATTCTTGAACATACTTGGTTCAGGAGAGTTTGTAAGTATGTGTGGTCTTGTTTTCTTGTTTGTTTTGTTCTGTTTTGTTTGAGGCTTGTTATTTGGTGTGCTGTTTTCTACCTCTGGTCTTATCTGTGGTACATAATTTCAAATAAACATGATACAAAAACAGAAATTTTGTAGAAATAATAGTAAGGTGAAATAGTAAATACTTTTTATGGATTTTTTTTAGCCATTTCAGTTACCCTGCAATTAAAGAATGCCAAAAAATATCTTTATTTGCAGAATTTCTTATTGCTTATAAATTAAATACCTGATAATGCCCTATATGGCATTAAATCTGAGATTATGGCTCTATCTGCATAGATATTCCAGTGGGAATTGCATGACTACATAAAGAATAAAAAGAAAGTGATGTGCTGTCATCTGCTGCTTGCAGACCTGAGCTAAAGTCCTTTACTGTAGCACTGTGACTACATAGCCTATTCCTTTCAGGTAAAAATACCACAGCTGGCTTGTCCTTTTTAGTTCATGATTAAATAAACTTCCTCATTTTCTAAAATGAAAATACCTGGAATAAATGCACTGGCACTTTTCTAAGTCTTTTACGATGAATATGAAACATAAACAAATAAGAAATCATCTCAATCTACTTTGGTCAGTGTGCTGCAATATTACCTGATAGACACGTTGGGCCTCCTCCAATTCTAAAATGTATACCAGCTAAGCTTCCCATATACACTTTCACTGCAGCAGGACTAAGGTGGGAGTATATATCAAATTTGGAAAACTTTTTAAGAAGCATAATGAGGTGCAGTGATCAAATGAGATAATATATTATCTGAAGAACTTTGTTGGAGAATGTTACTCATTACCAGTTGTGGCCAGTCGTGGTGGCTCACACCTATAATCCCAACACTTTGGGAGGCTGAGGTAGATGGACCACCTAAGGTCAGGAGTTCAAGACCACTTGGTCAACATAGTGAAACTCCATCTCTAGTAAAAATGCAAAAATTAGCCAGGCATGGTGGCACGTGCCTGAAAACACAGCTACTTGGGAGGCTGAGGCAGGAGGCTCACTTGAACCTGGTAGGCAGAGGTTGCAGTGAGCGGAGATCCCACCACTGCACTACAGCCTGGGCAACAGAGTGAGACTCTGTCTCAAAAAAAAAAAAAAAAAAAAAAAAA